TTACTGTGCATTTTAAGATCTGTTGAGAGTGGGGCATTGGGAGATGACAGACTGAGACGGCAGACCGCGCTGTTGCAGACAGATACATCTCACCTCTCTTGACTCTTTTTGTTGGCCCAGAAAAAAAACTTACATCAGTGTTGTTTCTTTGAACGTATATTTTCATTGTTTGTACCTTGTTAAACAAAAATGTACCTGCACACTAGAGTCACTGGGGCTGTACTCCTTTGGTCACTGGGGTGATACCTTCAAGGGTAAGTTAGGTAACGTAATTATACCTTAATTAAGTTGCATAGACCCAATATACCCTTTACATTTATGTAGTTTCTAGCTTGAATTAATTGTGCCTTTTTTCTGACTATGTATAGTAACTGGGATCTAACTTACTACCTTCTCTGGACTAAACAGACAAGAAACTCAAACATGAGACAGGTTCAAACATGAGACAGGTTCATTACTGCCCTCTGGTGGAGTATAGAGAACAAAGTTTTATAGAATAGACTAGTTTTGAGGATGCATTATGTTGCTAATCTGCCTATTAAATATTTCATTTAATATTAGATTTTTTCAATTAGAATATACAAAAATATGATAATTCTGACACATTTCTATTCAGACAATTTTTAGTAAAAAGTTTCTGAACTCTCTCTCTCTCCAATCAATTCACTCAGCCAGATGAAATAATAATCAAAGAGATTTATAGGAGATTAAGACTTTTATGCACATTGAATTAGATGAAACTACTATTCCAGGACAACCACAATATAAACATGTAATGTCATGTATCTGCAGAAGCCAATCACAACAGTCATACTGCTACCATGGTATAGGTTTGAGGTTTTTCTTACCTTTTATCTCTACATATTTCTCCTATCATTAAATCAACAGATAACATACTAATGCAATTAAAGAATAATAATTGTCTGATAATTATGAACTGTATCATAGTTGACTGTTGTTCCCTCACATGAGCAATTCAGCTTAATATTCTCTTCTCACAAATCCAAACAAACTGGTCATTACAGGAATGATCAGCCTAGTTCTGTAAAGGATCAGAGATATGGCCAATAACAACACAGTCCTCATCTCCTGTAATTGTCAGGTTACCCACTGTCCCAGAAACTGAAAGAGACAATCAGACAATCCAGTGTGTTTATCAGAGCAATGAGGCGTAGGAGTCAGGAGTTCAGCTCAGTGGTCCCTTGCTCAGTGGTCAGTGCTGAGCCATCCATCCATTTCCAGACACCCTCTGTCTCGGTCAGTTAGACCAATCCAAGCTTTCTGGTCTCATCTCACTATTTGATTGTTCAAATGTGATAACTGGTAACACATGTGAGGCACATTAGAGTTTAAACTATTCCTAATCATTCTAAAACTCCACAGACCATTTAGAGGCAGTCAATCTCTCTCACCTGTTCTTCTCTGCTGTTTATGATCAGCAGGTCTGCTCCTCTCTCTCTGCAGTCCTGTCTGCTCTCACTCCAGCTCTTCTTCTCAGTAGAGATGTAGTAAATACTGGAGTAGGTCCATCCCTGCTGGTGTGCTTAATTTCAATATAATTTCCAAACAGTCAGAGTAAACGGAGACTTTAAATTCCAATAAAGTAAAACATTCATGTTCTATCTGTTTGAAAGGAGATAGGCTGGTTACAGTGTTTCATAAAACAGAAAAGACCAGATGTATTTACACCATATGGCCAAAAGTATGTGGACACCCCTCCTTGTTATTGCGTTGTTTCAACTCCTCCCATTCCTAAGAAGGATATAAAATCAAGCACATACTGGTAAAAGTTTGGGGAAGACCCTTTCCTGTTCCAGCATGACCCTGTGCACAAAGCAAGGTCCATAAAGATAGGTTTGATGAGTTTGGTGTGAAGGAACTCCACTGAAAACCTTTGAGATCAATTGGAGCATTGATTGTAAGTCAGGCCTTCCCATGCAACATCAGTGCCTGACCTCACAAAACCAGTCTTTTGACAGGATGGGCACAAATCTGCAAAGAGAGAGCCAACTCCATATTAATGTGCATGGTTTTGGAACAGGAAGTCCAAGAAGCTCATATGGGTGATCATCAGGTGTCTACATTCTTTTGGCATCAAATGGTTGTTCCCAAATCACACCAGGCAGCAGGACGCTGTGGAGGACATCATTTAAATGCCTAATTGTCCTTTCAAGCTGTAGGTCAGGTGTTTCTTCAGCTAATCTGTGTGTGAGGGAAGGACGCTGCACCGCTTCACCCAGCATGGCACAAATCTTTGAGAGAGTTTCCTCTTCCCTGGAGACCGGGAGGGTCCTCACCCAGGTCGTCTGTGCTTTGGAGTGACTTGCTGCTTTCCTTCTCCGTTTTTGGGAGTGCATGCTCTTCTCCTGGACTTCTGGGCCAAGTTCTTCGCAGCTTCTTCTCATCCTCCACCAGCCTCGTCTTCCTCCACGCCAAGCCCCTCTCAGTGCTGCCTACCTGGCACCCCTTCAGATCCATGCAACTGGGAACAACCTCTCATTGCTGCTTCTCTCTGCAGTTCTGACACCATTGCAGCATAGGGGGAACCCTGTTTATAATGCAGCTTTTCTAGAACTCTGCACAGCAAAAAGAATACAGGGAGAAAACTGCCTCTCAGTGTAGCTCACAACTGTTACTGTAAGCGCTCCCACTCTAGTGTTGTAACTGTTCTATGCAAACAGGAAGCTTAAAAACACACAACTAAAGGCAAGTCTAGATAATGTTCGTTGGTTTGCTGTAAGACTGTTTTACAGAACCTTATTTGTTACAGATCCATTCACATCTCACACCAGGGCTACTGTGGTGAGATTTGTGGAAGTAGAAGCAAGTATGCCAGTAGGTAGAAAAATATCAGTTATGGGTCGTTGGACCATATTCGAAAGGGTTAACTGTTTGCCTGCAAGAGCAAGATTAACCAAATTAGAAAGAAAACACAGATTTAGATTAACTGGGTCTCTGACCTTAGTCACTATTCAAAACAATCAATGTAGTTAGAGGGAAATTTCAAAGAGAAAAAAAGTTAGGAGTACCTATTAGCAACCCACTTTGGTGAGCTTACCTTCCCTCATTTTCAGTTCCTTCAGAAAATGAAGATGTGCTGCTCTTTCTCCTTCAGTGACTGTGGCTGCACCTGGAACTAACAGTGTGCAGGTATACACATATATGATATGTATTCCTGGCTCTTATGGAAACAAGTTATAGTGGTTCTCCATTTTTGGGAAAAAAAAAAACAATTGTATTCTGAATAAAAGTAATCAGAAAAATTCATATGGATGCTATCAGATATTCATCTGAGGTTCAGCATTTTTCACCTAATCATATGACATGTAGTTTAGCAAGACTTGCTCAGATAGAGACTATGGCTCATTTCCTTTCCTTTAATCCTTTAGTTCTCCATCTGTGGTCAGTGTCTGCCCACATGACCTCTGTTGCCAGACAGTTTTAGGTTGACGGTAAGACCTGCTGAGGTTTCCCAGATTGCACCATACTGTCTGAGCAAGCGATTCCAAGCATTTTTTTTTTCCCTCTGTACAGAAAATAGGAGTTATTGTTAATGTTCTGTCCTCCATTTAATATATGGTCAGTGGGGGTTCTCTGGTGGTCCCTCAAACCAAACCTATTTAATCAGTTCTTCTCATATTCATACTAACACATCATCACAATAAGCTTCAAACAGTGGTCACTGGTGGTCAGTGATATTTATGGACTTCACACTGATACACCTCTGATAATGGTCACTGGTGTTAACTCATTTCAACATTCACTGTGATGCGCTCCTAACAGTACTGACTGGTTTTCATAGATCTATTTGTCAATGTTACTCTGATAGGCCTTTAACAGCAGTCCTCATTTACCACTGGTTAATCTAAATACTTCTATCCAATGACAGGCTGGTTTCTTCTCTATTTTCTTCTATATTCATTATTGTGTATTCGTATTTGTGTAATTGTAAAAATCCCATCTTCTATTCATATTACTCTCGTTTTATTATTGTTTTGCTATCCGGTGTCTGACCAGAGGAGGTTAGGTTCCCCTTTTGAGTTGTGGTTCCTCTAATGGTTTCTTCCTTTTGCTCTTAGGGAGTTTCCTGTTGATCAATCTGGAACGAGAGACCAAAACAGAGCAGAAAGGAAAAAAAAAAACACAATGAGAAACAACCGAGTTCTTGAAGTTCTTCATTAAACTGGAGAACTTACTTGAGCACTGATCAGTAAAGTAAGCAAACCTCATGTGAGCAACAACACAGTTTCCACAAACTCATTTATAAAGATTCTCTTTGCTGAAGTTTATAAATTGAACAGCAATGAATTCATGCATACCGTAAAACATTTTCTTTAATCATTTTAATGAGTTGTGAAGAATGATGTTGTTGTGTGGAATGTGAACAAGTATTTCTTCCAGAAGGAAAAAGTAGTATGTTAACAGGGTTTATTGAAAATGTGACCAATATATGGAAAGTTATTTATTAAACTGAGATGTTTATAAGTAAAATTCTAAAGGTTTTTACAGTACATTTAAGGAATATGTGGCACTGCATGATGTTATTTTAGTCATTGTCTGTAAATTCACAGGAAGCATAATCAAGTCTGCAAAAACTAAAGAAGGTCTATTAAAAATGGAAAAGACTTTTTACAGTGTAGATGTTACAAAAATACTTTTCTGGAGAGAATAATTAGATGAAACTATTATTGCAGAAAATGATTATAGAAGCAAGAAATATATCCCAGCATGTTATGTATGTGCAGAAGTCAATACCAGTCATATTGTTGGTCATCTTACATTTTATCTCTACACATCAGTACATTAAAGCAATGAAAGACTGATAATTATTCACTAAATTGATTTTAATGATGTAAACATGAACAATTCAGCTAAATATTCTCTTCTCACAAATCCAAGCAAACCGGCGATTACAGGGATAATCAGCCCAGTTCTGTAAAGGATCAGACGTATGGCCAGTAACAACACAGTCCTCATCTGCTCCCTTACTGTTGGGTTCATTACGTCCCCAGAACCTGAAAGAGAGAATCAGAGAATCCACTGTGTTTATCAGAGCAGTGAGGAGTCACCCTGCGTTCACACCACCACCGATATTTCACCTCTTTTCGTCTAAATAATTGGTCACTCAACGCCTGTGGGTGTTTCTGAACCTGAGCTGGTTCCCATGGTTTTACTGACATCAAGTAAATTCAAGTAAATGCAATGACACTCTGTACTTTACTGGCTAGTGGCTACAGAGCACAGAGAGACATCTATATGACTGCAGATCAGATGCTTTCCCACCCAGTACTTACCATCAAACTCATTCAACCAACTGGATCATCCTTCAGGTGCTGAGAGCTTTTACTAAACGGCCGTATTAAGGAATTTGCTTCCAGCTGCAGTGCACAAACCAGCAGGAATTTACAACCCCAGTTCCAAAAAAATGCAGTGATCTCCTACCTAGTGGTCAGTGCTGAGCCGTCCACCCATTTCCAGACCCTCTCTGTGTCTTGGTCAGACAGACCAATCCAAGCTCTCTGACCTCTTCTTAACATTTCAGTGAAGTCCTGTTGAAGTGTGATAACAGGTTACACATGTGAAGCACATTAGAGTTTAGACTATACCTAATCATTCTAAACCTCCAGTGTCCATTTAGAAGCAGTCAAACAGAGTAAAAACTCCCTCACCTGCTCATCTCGGCTGTTTATGATCAGCAGGTCTGCTCCTCTCTGTCTGCAGTCCTGTCTGCTCTCACTCCAGCTCTTCTTCTCAGTAGAGATGTAGTAAACACTGGAGCTGAAGTAGATCCATCCTCGCAGGCTGGCTTTATTTATACATAGTTTCCAAAGGTAACATTAGTCAGACTAAATGGGAAAACTTTAAAACTGCAACATACAATGTTAATGTTATTATGTTAATATTGTCTGTTCCCTGTTGTGTTTTAAATAAAATATAGAATGTCTTTTACAGGCTTCAAATGTCCATACACTATATTTCCAAAAGTATTCGCTCATCCATCTAAATCATTGAATTCAGGTGTTCCATTCACTTCCATGACCACAGGTGTATAAAACCAAGCACCTAGGCATGCAGACTGCTTCTACAAACATTAGTGAAAGAATGAGTCGCTCTCAGAAGCTCAGTGAATTCCAGCGTGGTACCGTGATAGGATGCCACCTGTGCAACAAATCCAGTTGTGAAATTTCCTCACTACTAAATATTCCACAGTCAACTCTCAGTGGTATTATAACAAAGTGGAAGCGATTGGGAACGACAGCAACTCAGCCACGAAGTGACAAGGCGGGGTCAGCGGATGCTGAGGCACATAGTGCGCAGAGGTTGCCAACTTTCTGCAGAGTCAATCACTACAGACCTCCAAACTTCATGTGTCCTTCAGATTAGCTCAAGAACAGCATAGAGAGCTTCATGGAATGGGTTTCCATGGCTGAGCAGCTGTATCCAAGCCTTACATCACCAGGTGCAATGCAAAGCGTTGAATGCAGTGGTGTAAAGCGCCGCCACTGGACTCTAGAGCAGTGGAGACTTGTTCTCTGGAGTGACGAATCATGTTTCTCCGTCTGGCAATCCATTGGACGAGTCTGGGTTTGGCGGTTGCCAGAACGGTACTTGTCTGACTGCATTGTGCCAAGTGTAAAGTTTGGTGGAGGGGGGATTATGGTGTAGGGTTGTTTTTCACGAGTTCCTTAGTTCCAGTGAAAGGAACTCTTAATGCTTCAGCAGACCAAGAGATTTTGGACAATTTCATTCTCCCAACTGTTTGGGGATGCTCCCTTCCTGTTCCAACATGACTGCGCACCAGTGCACAAAGAAAGGTCCATAAAGACATGGATGAGCGAGTTTGGTGTGGAAGAAGTTGACTGGCCTGCACAGAGTCCTGACCTCAACCAGATAGAACACCTTTGAGATGAATTAGAGCGGAGACTGCGAGCCAGGCCTTCTCGTCCAACATCAGTGTCTAACCTCACAAATGGGTTTCTGGAAGAATGGTCAAAAATTTCCATAAACACATTCCTAACCCTTGTGGAAAGCCTTCCCAAAAGAGGTGACTGTTATAGCTGCAAAGGGTGGGCCAACATCATATTAAACCCTTTGGATTAAGAATGGCATGTCACTCAAGTTCATATGTGTGTGACAGCAGACGAGCGAATACTTTTGGCAATGTAGTGTATTTAATAAAGGAAAGGCCCAAAAATCTTCATGTGAATCACCATTATCTTAGCACTAACATAATAGAATCTCATAGGGGCGCTAGCTGATTTTAGCAGTATTGTAGAGGTTTTATTTTCCTTGTTTTAACCAAGTTTTGACATTTGTCGCCCAAACTGAAGGCCTAGTTCTATAGTCTTGGTTCGCCAGTGGGCACATATGCCTTTATCTCAGGGTTCGTCCAGATTCTAATGATGACCTACAAAATAAGAGGTCTAATTATTGTAAGCTCTCCTGTGCATCTTTTTCCTGATTTCTTTGACAACCCAAACTTAGATGTCCAAAATCATTGACAGTCAGTGCCTTTTTGTATGCAATTGTGTTATTTACATCACCACCTACAATTTCCCTAGCTGTTGTAGCTAGAGATGGCATATTGGTGTTGATGATATTGGTGTTGTGTTGTTATTAGAAGAAAATGCTGAGTCATAAAGCAGAGGGAAATTCAATCCTGTAATAAATCTTTCCTAAAAGGACACAAACACTCACTCTGATGTGATATCTGTATATATGTTTCTTTCTGACGGGTTGCAGTGTGTTAGTAGAGTAAACAGTTTGTACTAGTAGAAAGAAATATTGAATCAGTATTGGTTGAAACTCAAAGTTTCAGTGTTGGAAACAGAAATCATGTAGAGATGATTTTTTTAGTCTACTTATCCCATTCCCATAGAAAAACCTGCACAGTTTGTCTCCCTTCATGCTCATGTCAGATTTAAATGTGTCTACTTACCCAAATAGGAAAGTTTCCGCTGAAGACCATCCTTCTCTACAGTCAGGCTTTTGTAGTTGGTCTCTAAGTGGTCTTTCTCTATAGCCAGGTTGGTGTAAATGGTCTGTAACTGGTCTCTCTCTATAGTCAGGTTGGTGCAACTGGTCAGGAATGGGTCTCTCTCTATAGTCAGGTTGGTGTAACTGGTCTGTAACCGGTCTCTCTCTATAGTCAGGTTGGTGTAACTGGTCTGTAACTGGTCTCTCTCTATAGTCAGGTTGGTGAAACTTTTCTGTAACTGGTCTCTCTCTATAGTCAGATTGGTAAAACTGGTCTGTAACTGGTCTCTCTCTATAGTCAGGTTTGTTAAACTTTTCTGTAACTGGTCTCTTTCTGTAGACAGATTGGTGAAACTGCTCAGTAACTGGTCTCTCTCTATAGTCAGGTTGGTGAAACTGTTCAGTAACTGGTCTCTCTCTATAATCAGGTTGGTGTAACTGGTCTGTAACTGGTCTCTCTCTATAGTCAGGTTGGTGTAACTGGTCAGTAATTGGTTTCTTTCTATAGTCAGGTTGGTGTAACTGGTCAGTAACTGGTCTCTTTCTATAGTCAGGTTGGTGTAACTGGTCTGTAACTGGTCTCTCTCTATAGTCAGGTTGGTGTAACTGGTCAGTAATTGGTTTCTTTCTATAGTCAGGTTGTTGTAACTGGTCAGTAACTGGTCTCTTTCTATAGTCACGTTGGTGTAACTGGTCAGTAACTGGTCTCTCTCTGTAGTCAGGTCGGTGTTACTGGTCAGTAACTGGTCTCTGTCTATAGTTAGGTTGGTGTAACTGGTCAGTAACTGGTCTCTCTCTATAGTCAAGTTGGTGTAACTGGTCAGTAACTGGTCTCTCTCTATAGTCGGGTTGGTGTAACTGGTCGGTAACTGGTCTCTCTCTATAGTCAGGTTGGTGTAACTGGTCGGTAACTGGTCTCTCTCTCTAGTCAGGTTGGTGTAGCTGGTTGGTAACTGGTCTCTCTCTATAGTCAGGTTGGTGTAACTGGTCTGTAACTTATCCCACTCTCTAGTCAGGTTGGTGTAACTGGTCTGTAACTTATCCCACTCTGCAGTCAGCTTGTTCAACTTGATCCACAGCACTGTGGTGGCAGCCAGAAGGAGAACACACAGCAGCCCCAGACACACTGCAGCCCACCTGCAGCTTCTGCTCCCAGTTGTGTCATATCCTGGAACAAGACAGCATCACACTCATCCACAGAGTGTTCACATACTAAACCTTCAGAGAATAACTACACTTGCAGGAGAGAGAAACTGAAAGAGAGAGAGGGCATGATGGGCACCTGAGCTCTGAGATTCCCATCTGTTTCTTGTTCTTGTTCTTCGGGTCCAGGTACGTCCTCCTTTCACCTGGATTTCACCTGTGACGCTCTTGTCATCATCTGTCTCAGATTTTCTATCTGCAGTGTTTCCTGAACCTACATACATATGCTCATTCATCTCCATTCTGCTCGCTGCAGTGGTCCAGGTCAGCTCCAAATGTGAGTGTGTTGTTTTATACATGAACTGTGGACAGGAAGTTGAGCAGGAAACCACAGAGGGACGTGTACTGTGGAGCCTTTGCACAGAAAACACTGACAATTTTAATTCTCTTTGACTCATCACATTATTATGGTGTCATTTCTCTTTTTTCACTAGAAAAAAGTCTTAATATAGGGTTAACTTCCTTGTCTCCCGCATGCTTCTTCCTCTTGAAATTCCTGCTTCCACTTTCACAAGGCTGAAAGTACCCCTAGTAAATATGAATGAGTAAAGCATAGAAAAAAATGACAAAAATCACAAAAAGCCAACATTTACAATACTTGGCATTTATCAGAAGGCCTAGCGTTATTGTTTTTCTCACAAAATTGGTACCACCCATTGGAAATCAAAAAATGATTGGCTGATTCCCTTCACGTTGTAATTCTGCAGTGAACCTAATGTGTTAGGCCTTTTCGTTAGCTCTTGAAATCGTAGCCGATAGGAAAATTTGCTTTGCAATATCTACCTAGGTACCACAAGAAAAAGGTTCTGAAAGTTGTGGGCTTTGAAGAATTTAAGCCTTTTGTTTCCATCTAAAATTTAACAATGGAACGAGGGTAGTGGGCATCATTGTCATGCATGTGTAAACCACATCACTTATACCAGCACCAGCCAGCATTACCACAGCCTGTTAATGGCGAGCCTGACCACTTCCTATTTCTCCTGTTATACCAAAAACATGACTGCAAAATGCCAGAGGGCATCCATAAGCGAATACTCAATGAATGATGGTGAATGAAGTTAAACAGCTAAAAACCAAAAAATTAAACAAATTTCCAAGCATTTGTGCAAGATATTCCTGTGATTTGGTAGGAGTAGGACTGTGAAAAAAAAATTGTCTTAAGAATGTTTGGTGAATGAAGCCCCATGTTTTGTTCTCTTGGAACAAATTCAATTACTTAATTGTTTCTCTCCCTGGTAGTTACTGAAAGCTCTCTGTGTGTCTGAGAGGGAAACAAAAGTTGTCTTTTTCACACTGATCTAAAATCAGTTAACTTCAACCAAAACCCTCTTTAGATCTGTGACGAAATGTCCTCATTTCCTTTTTCCACATCAGTGTATCAAAAGCAATTTCCCTCCATAACAAAGCATTTCACAGGAGAGGCACAGACCACGTCCAGTCTGTCGAGCTGCTTCCGGATTATGTAAGGTTAAAGTGCTACAGTGTTCAGGTGTATTACAAAGATAAAAATGGACATTCAAAACGAACCTCTTCAGGACCAGAAAAGAGAAACAAAACGTCTTACTCATGGGCAGGACAGGGTCAACACAGAGGTAAGTACTCACCCACACATCCCCATAAAAAGGCCCAAATCAAAAGAGAATGGATGTTTTTATTTACTTGTGTTGATCTTGCTCTTCTGTTAAGTGTGTATTTGTGCATGTTTAATGTTTAGGAGTGTGTTCAGAATAAGAGTCCTTATCAGAACAATCTATGAATAAATGCCAAAGAACTAATAACCTAAACTAACATTTCAAAAGCATTTCTTGAACACGCTACATTATTCTCAATAGCAATGTCTGTTATTTTGTAAATAAGATTTATGTAATCACAATCTTACCTTCAGACCACCGTTCATTTGTTTAGTGAGAACCCGGGTACAGGTGGCGTGTTCCCACCGACGGCGTGTTATAGTTGAAGTCAAACTGACGCATATTAATCCAATTGATCATGAAGACGTAAAGATGGAGTGAGTTTTATTTTGTCATCTAATAAATGCTGTTTACAGCAGAGGTGGTGCCAGGAATGCTTTTTGCAGGGGTGCTACATGGGTGCAGAAACATATGAAGGAAGTGCTGTAGCATGTAACAAGGGGGTGCTAAACCTATGGTTGTTGCAGTGGCAATATGTGGACACCGGGAGTTGGGGGGGGGGGATTTGATGATAGTGCAGAGAAGTTTCAATATTAAGGCTGTTTCCACACCTAGCTTGTTTGCTAAAGTCTGAACCAGAGTTTGGATTGTTGTATTGCTTTTTTTGGTTTGGTTGTTTTCACACTGCAACAGCTAAAATGTACCAAATTACACACCAGTGTTTGTTTATCGGTCAGAAGGTTTGCAGGGGCACAAGCGCTCTATTACTCATACATTTACCACCATCTGGGCCAAAAAATGACGACTTTGCATGAAAATGAGAAGCTTAACATCTATGCGCACGACAGTTAAAGCAATAATAATAAACCTTGTTTGATATCTGCTTCTTTATGAATGGTTTGTCAGTATGAATGTAACCTGACGCTGTGTCCTGGACTGGCTTACATATTTAAGTATATGTTTTTCATTATAGCTTATTTTTGTACTCGTTCATGATACAGTAAGTTCCACGTTATCTGCAGACATCAAGTTACTGTTCACAGGTTTTTTGGCAGCTTATTCACTGCAAATTCCTATACAGACACAGGTCAAAGCACTGTAGTTTAATCTGTGATGGTTTTGGGGAACTGTTGTTAGTTGGATGTTCGTTAGTTTTTTGAACCATCAAACTCTGTTGGCTCAGCTGTGACTTGCGTCTTTGTTCAGGAAACACACCCCTAATTGTGTATGTATTGTGTCTCATTCAAAAAGCAGTCTGGACTGAAACACTTACTGTAACTTCAGGGTGATTGTGCGGGGCTAAACTGCTGTAGAATATACAGCCATATGCAAAAATTCAGAGCTCCTGGTCAAATTCCCCTTTTTAAGTGAAAATAATTGCACATCCTCTACAGAGAAAACACTTTGGCGCATTTATATTTCCAAATACTGTTCATTTGCTGAAGTTTACATAAAAAACAAACATAAAATGGGGCCTGTGCATAAGTTGTGGCACGTTATGTTATGTGACATCAGAAAAACAAAGAATTTTAAATGTTTTTTTTTTTCAAGCTTAGTTTTCATATTTGGACTGTTATATGTTGAAATGTCTAAATTTTTGCATTTTATATCAAACCTTTTTAAGTTATAAAACGCAAGGAAACATCTTCTGTGATATAAGCCTTTTCATTTCTGAAATATAAAGAATAAAGCATGCACCCTCCCTACAAGCCAGTCTTTCTAGATAGAATCAAAATATCAATGAAATACACAACTTTTATGGTAAATATATAAAAAAAACAACAATAACAACAAAAAAAAAAAGTAGGAGTATTTCTTCTTTGGGGGTCTTTGTTCTACTATATGTTTATTGTCAGCAGGCTGGTTTGAGAATACTGACAGAGAAACAGTGAATCTACATTTCATTCTGCTTGTTTTGTGACAGAACATGTTATTACTTGTACATTATGAATGTATTACTGAAAAGCTCTTCTCACAGATCCACCCTTCTTCGTGAGAGCATGGCATGTCATTCCAGTTCTTCTTATCTGGGAGATCCTGAATGTCAGCACAGTCCTCATTATTCCGAACATCATTTGGTTCTCCTTCCTTCCAGAACCTGAAGGCCAGAGAATCAGAATCAGTCTCTGATCAGTGTTCATTAACCTTCGGCTCAACTCTCTCAGTCTGTGTTCAGTCAAATTCATACAATTCACTACATAATCAGTTACTTGAAGGTGAATTCAATCCCAGTTCATCTGTTTCTTACTCAGTGGTCAGTGATGATCCGTCCACCCATTTCCAGACTCCCTCTGTTTCACGGTCAGTCAGGCCAATCCAAGCCTTATTGCCTCGCAGATTGTTAAGGATGAACTCCTGCCATTGAGATAATATAATGTGAAGAGATTGAAGAACAGTTTTACACTCTCTCTCTCTCTCTCTCTCTCTCTCTCTCTCTCTCTCACCTGTTCTTCTCTACTCTTTATGATCACCAGGTCTGCTCCTCTCTCTCTGCAATCCTCTCTGCTCTCAGTCCAGTTCTTTTGTCCAACAGTGATGTAGTAAAGAGTGCCGCTGAAATACGTCCAACCCTGCTGCATCGCCTTCTCTATGAATTAAACACAGAACACACACACACATGCACATGCAGACAATCCATCATAGGTATTTTCATCTTTCATACAGAAGTCCTCACTGTGACCGTCTCATCTCCTCTGAGAACTCTCTGGTTAGCTCATCAAACATCAAACATCAAAATGTTTTTTTGTATGGTTTTCAATTTAACACAGGCTTTTTTTGCAAAAGTGGTTTATAGATTAACAAAAAATCTTGCACTTCATTTTCTAATAAGAACTAACTGTTTGTTTTTGTTATATAATAGCAGCACCAACATCTGTTTTTGGTAGTGTCTTAGCTTAAGGATATCACTGGACTATACACACATTTTCTAAACCGCTTATCCTCCTGGGTCGTGGGGGGATGCTGGAGTCTATTGCAGCTGTCACTGGGAGGAAGGCAAGTTAGATCTCAATACCCTGGGTTCGATTTGCTCTACTGTTAGAAGTTTAGCTGGGAAAATTTATATCAGCATCAACCAGCTGTTTGATTTACAATGGGTCCGACGACTTTTGTAGAAAAAGTGTCTTTCTAGGCCTTCTATAAGTCCTGGATACTTCACTAACTCAGTATGAGTGGCAGCCTAAACAATGACTTTCAACATTTGTTAGAAATGCAAAACAGTGGTGGCAGCTCTATGTCAGCTACAATAACATACATGATATGTTAATTTGCGTTTTCTCTGCTATAAATAAAACATGGAGTGTCTCTTACAAGCTTTAAATGCCCTTGTTTAATCAAGAACAGACAAAAAAAACGTTCACATGAATCATCATTATCGAGAGCTAACATATTTCTAGAGTCTCCTGGGGCGCTAGCTGACATTAGCATTCATAGAGATTTTATTTTCCTGATTTTAACCAGGTTTTTTCCTGATTTTTAACCATCATAGAGATTTTGTTTTCCTGATTTTTACCAGGTTTTGACATTTGAAGCCCAGACTGAAGGCCTAGTTCTAATAGCCTTGGTTCGCCAGTGGACAAAACTGCCTTTGACCCATGGTTTGTCCAGATTCTAGTGGTGAACTACAAAATAATGATACATCCTTAGAGGTCTATTTATTGCAAGATCTCCTATGCATGTTTTTCTTTACTTCTTCGGCAAAATTTTTGAAAAGTCGCACACTTACACTGTGATGTTGTTAGATATGTGTTTCTTCGTGTGGGATGTAGAGTGAGTAATTTGTACTAGCAGTTTTAAATGATCAGATCAGTGTCAGTATCAGAAAAGAAAAAGTGATATCGTGTAGAGGCCTTCATATGACCCTTTCAGTCTTGCTCCTGCAAGATTTCATCCAACTCTGGTAGAAACCTGGCAGAGTTTATCCTACTCCCACCTGCAACCTAAACGTTTTGTCCTGCTCCCGCCCACAGACCTGTATATCTGGTTACCATCTGTGTTAGTCATGACTGAAAATGACTGCCACACATCAGACTTGTCCTTATTCAAATTTAGATTGTGTATTTTTATTAAGTGCAACTTTCCACAGTTGTGGCCTCTCACTGTCTAAAGACAGTTTCTGTAACCTATAAGAAAGCAATTCCTCTGACTGCTCACAATTGGTTGCTTCTATTTAGAGCTACCTTACAACTTCTATTTAGAATGAGTTTATTAATTTTTTTTAGATATTTATTTGTGACAATTATTAAAAGATCATTTTTATTTGGCTATTCTTTCATTTGTGGGACTTCTCTGCATGCAAATGTGGTCCCACTCCTGCCTGCACTGGGTTGGTTAACTGCCTGCTCCTGAAAGATAACCTCATGCCACAAAATATTGTGGTGGAGGCTTCTAGTATCATGCTATCTCTAGATTCAACAATGCTTCCCCATTTATTACTGCTTATTCTCGTTAATTTTACATACTAGACATATTAAAATATTTGTACATGTTGACTGACCTCAGACCCTTATAGTAAGGCTTATTTTCTTTTATTATATGATCATTTAACTTCATGCTCATAATTTCAGATTTAAATTTGTCTGCATACCCAAGTTGGAAAGTTTCTGCTGAAGACCATCCCTCTCTACAGTCTCTGTAGGCAGCTTGTTCAACATAACCCACAGCACTGTGGTGGCAACCAGCAGAAGAACACACAGCAGCCCCAGACACACTGCAGCCCACCTGCAGCCTCTGCTCCCAGTTGTTTCATGTCCTGGAACAAGACAGCATCACACTCTGTGGGTGAGTGTTTACATACTAAACCTTGAGAGAATTTCTACACTGGCAGGAGAGAGAAACTGAAAGAGAGAGAGGGGACCTGCACCTGAGCTCTGAGATTCCCGTCTGTTTTCTGTTCTGGTTCTTTGGGTCCCAGTATGTCCATTCACATGCATGTTTTCATAGACATTCTTGTCTTCAGATTTTCTGTCTGCAGTGTATCCTGCATTTTCGTACATATCCTCACTCATCTCCATTCCGCTCTCCGCAGTGATCCAGGTCAGCTTCAAGTGTTAGTGGATCACAGCATGAGTTGCTTTATACATTAACTGTGAACAGGAAGTTGAGCAGGAAACCACAAAGAGACGTGTTCTGTGGAGCTTCTGCAAGGATAAAAACATTTCACTCCTATTGACTCATCGCATTATGGTGTCACTTCCCTTTCTTCACTAGTGAATTTCTTAATACACGGTTAACTTTCTTGTCCCCCACATGCTGCTTCCTCAGTGAATGATGGTGGATGAAACTTAGCCATTTCTGCAAGATCTTCCTGTAATTTTGAAAGTATGCATTACATTATGTGAGATGCATTATATGAAAAGTCAAAGAAAACAGACAAGTATCTTTTCATTTTTCTTACATGAAAATGATTTTGGTCAGTAGGACGCTAACATTACTGCTAGCGCTGATTGGTTGGTGAGCTGATCATGGCGGAGAAAAGTGGTTCACACTCACTGATGTCATGAATGTTCATAAGACACTGTTGGAAAGTTCTACTACTGGAGTTCAAACATGCTCAAAAATGTGACCGTGGTATTGAAATATTATATCACTGTTGTCAGAAGAAAATCTCATATCTCCTTTTTTTTCTCTGTCGTTTTTCAGTTTTTGGCATACTTTGAAAATGCTTGTTGTCCTTTACATTGTGTGTAAATTTCATGATGAACTGACCAAAACAAACGGCCCAAAATGACTTGTAAAAACTTCTGGTTCCATTGACTTACATTAAAAGTAAAGTAGTTTTTTTTTCTCCTGTAAAGTCATTATTTTGGAGATACAAGGTTTTGATCCGACAACAGTGATATACTGTTCTATGTTGAGAAAATGAGTAAAGCATTTACAAATTATGTAGCACAAAACCTGTGTCAGTGGTCCTCATTAGAAATTCTCTGCCACTACCTGATGTGTAATGTAGTGCCTGTAGATGAACAGTAACAATGGTCATATTCCCCAATAGTAGTTACGTGTGTATTTTACACTCTGCCCTGCTTATTTAGCAAGCTATAGCTATATTACTTGCTCATCTGTGAAAATACATATAGCTTCAAGCTATAATTATCTACCTAAGCGGGTTTGGTTTGTGCATTCTTAGCCTGTATGGATACTACAATAACAATAGCATGAACAAAGCTGGGCAAAATATAGGCTCAACCTCAAATGGCTTCCTTTTAATGAGGAAAGAACTGGTTAGTCAGATTAAGAATTGTTAGGAAAGAATTATTTTCTTACCCATAAACTCCTGACACCTCCTCAGTGACCCATCAAACTTAAGGGGGAGGTTAGTTAGTGATGGGGAATCTGTTAAAGCATTAGTTTCATGCAAACATGCTCAAAAATGTGACTATGTTGTCGAAATATTATATACAGTTCTGTGTTGAGAAAATGAGTGCAAATTCTACAAAATACAAGGATTATTAAGCATTTACAAATTATGATTTAGCACAAAATCTGTGTCAGTTGTCCTCATTAGAAATTCTCTGCCACTACCTGATGTGTAATGTAGTGCATGTAGATGAGCGGTAACAATGGTCATATAGTAGTTACGTGTGTAAGGGGATCTTTAACATTAACACATTAACAGTGGACAGGAAGTTGAAGAGGAAACCTTCTGCACGGAAAAAAAATCATTCCTATTGACTCAACACATTATGGTGTCACTTCCCTTTCTTCACTAGTGAAATTTCTTAATATACGGTTAACTTTCTTGTCCCCCACATGCTGCTTCCCCAGTGAATGATGGTGGATGAAACTAAACAGCTTAAAACAAAAAATGAAATGTTTTTAGACATTTGTGCAAGATCTTCCTGTAATTTTGAAAAGTAGTGAGATGCATTACATGAAAAGTCAAAGAAAACATACAAGTATCTGTCCATTTTTCTTACATGAAAAAGATTTCGGTCACTAGGACGCTAGCATTACTGCTAGTGCTGATTGGTTGGTGAGCTGATCATTGCTGAGAAAAGTGGTTCACAATCACGAACGGCATGAATGAAATTCTCTGCCACTACCTGATTTGTAATTTAGAACCTGCAGCTGCAGTGGGTTTGCTTTGTGTATCAGAGCATTCTTAGTCTGTATGGACACTACAATAACAATAGCATGAATAAAGCTGGGAAAAAAACAGGCTCAATCTCAAATGGTGTTAGTTATTGCAATCAGACAAATAAGCATACTTGTGTACAGTTCATTTTACACTAATATGAAGACAGGATGTTCACTAATGTGCATGAACTGATTGACAACAGAAAAGAAAAGAAAATCCTTTGAGATTTTAAAAAGTAGTTGGAAGGTCTAAATGAAAACATAGGGGCTCCATAATGATGCAACAGTCTCAGCGTTGACCCTATTACTGGGAGGCCATGAGTTAAATCCCCTGCGATGCCACAGCCTTCAGTGGTCAAGGATACTCACTCACTATGATACTGGCCAGATGTTGGTTGACATAACAGAATTGGAAGTTAGTGTTCTCCTGCAAGTGTGCTCATCTGTCAAATGATGGTGCATTAGCGAGCATTTGAACAGACGCAGTGGTGCTTCATGTGACTCAAAGGAAGCACATGCCAGCCTGTACTCTCTTAGCATTGTAGCATGATGTGGTATCATCCACTAGCAGGTGGAAGTGGACAAGAGAAAATTGAGAGAACAGCCAGAAAAAATAGCTAAATAAATGAAAATGTGAAGAAAAAATGTGTTTTGTTCTCTTTGAACTGTATTTCAATTCAATATAGAGGTGGATGATATGGCAAAATGATATCTCTTTTTTATGATATACGATGTGTCACAAATCACCTGATAAGTTAGAACAGACAAAGCAGTGTCACATCAAAAACTATGAATCTAATTACTTGTATTTGACATTTCACACACTGCGCTGCACTAAATCCACTTAAACAGAACTAATTATGCTCTTTTTTTAATCAAAATGTAGTTGTAATCTCCACAATGTGCTCAGACATGTATATCGTAAGAGATATACAGCTCACCCACTACACAGCTTCTTCAGCCTGCTGCCATCAGGGAGGAGACTGTGGTCTCCAGGCCAGGACCAGCAGACTGGGGGACAGCTTCATCCACCAGGCTATCAGGATGCTCGACTCTCTCCCTACTTTACCCCTTCTGCCCCCCAAACACACAAAGTTTGGACCCAAACACAGGTTCCTGACCCCCCAATACTGAACTCTGACATTCTCAGGGACTGTTACGCACCCATCACTTTAACTGCTCCATAAGCTCATTCATGCGCTACTGTTTATAATCACACTATTTATACCCACAGACCTTAATCTGTATGTGCCTTATGTCACTTAATTGTTAATTTCAAGGACCTTCTTATATTTATATTATTTTTTTATTATTCTATTTTTCTACAATTAGTGTATATTTTTATGATTAGTGTTTTTTTTTAGTGTCTATTTAGATTCACACCTTTCCTGTTTACTGTCTATTTAATGTTATCACATTATCAGACCTGTTTTCATTCCAGAAAAATTAATTTCAATACGCTGTATGTCCTGTACATATTGTAGTATTGACAATAAAGCTGGCTTGACTTGGCTTGACTTGAAACCTCTCTCTGTGTCTGAAAGGGAAACAAATGTTGTCCTTTTTCCACAGATTCAAAATCAGTTCACTTTGGCCAAAATCCTGTCTAGATCTTTGATGAAATGGCCTCATTTCCTTTTTTCACATCGACATATCTGCCTCCGATAACACAGCAACACAGACATGGACATTGAAAATGACCCTCTTCAGGACCAGAAAACATAAAGAGTGGACAAAGCGTTTCACTCGTGTCACGCACACGGTCAGCAACTGATGACAACTGATTTTTGTGCTGAAGGTAGATTATTGAATGGTTTTCTTTTGTGAACTTTTGTGTTTGATGTGTTCTTTGATCTGTGTTCATTTTGTAGTCATACAAAACCTGACTATTGAGAGAGATCAGATAGAGGGGGAGCGAGGCAGCCTCTTCTGAAGACTCACTCAACTAAGTGAATACTTGCAGGCTTTGATGTAACCGTCATGTAGAGCCATCAGAAAACCCACTATAGATTTTTTAGAACAATTCAATGAAGCAACAAAGACAAAGCCTTGTTTACACATTTAGCACAATGCTACGGTTTGTAATGACCAACTCAGCATGAGGCCAAGACAGAAGCAAAATGGATGTGCAATAAATGTCCTTCAGAGTGGTTTAAGGTAACATAGATGGGTTTATTAACAATACATAATCAACTTAGTCACATGTTGCAACTGAGTGAATTATATGATGAGGCTATACAAAAGTAAATAAGATGAATACCACATTAAGAATACTACCTAAAATATTACATGATAGATAGACAGAGTCAGAGAGAGAGAGAGAGAGCGATAGGACCAGAGGTCCAGCGTCTACACAGGTCCAGCCTCTGAACAGTTCACACACATGCGGTAGCGGTAGGGCAGGTACTTAAGGCTGCATGGTAGAAACCTTTTCCGGCCTTGGCATTGGGCACATAGAACAGCCCTATTAAGGCCCGGTCCACCGGCCAATCTCATTCAGAACATGTGCTGTCTCCCCAGACTTCTGAAGTCCAAGCTTGGAACATCAGCAGAACAAGCTGGCAGGCTTCATTCCAGACCTGTTTTCACTCCAGAAGCGCATAGTACCTCTGTTGTAAAATGCAAATGCACTTCTCCTTCACATCTCCAGGTCACGGAGCAATCTATTGTCTCTTATAAGAGGTGTGGCAGGAGTCTGACATCCAACAACAAAGCATATTCCACACTAAAGCACAATAAAAGGTGCAGAGTTGACTGAAATAGCAGACAGCAGAACTGAAACGGCAGTTTGGACTGGTCAGAACAACAAGCTTTATCCCTTTGAACACTGAACATGCCTCATCCAAAGAATTGACAATGTTTCTCTAAATAATAAAAAAAAAATAATAATTAATTCAAAAGTAAAGCAGCAAATGCCTGCGCTCATTTGTCAAAAGACTGTGATGAATTAAATATCATGGACATGATGGACATAACAATGAATATTCAGGAGAGGGCAGAGAAACTAAAGCAACTGCAATCAGTCTGCTTATCAGAGCAAGTTCAGCACTTCAGTAAATATTAACACTTTAAATCTGAACAACAAAAACCTGGCTATTTATGATGTTTAATCTGCTTTTTTTATTTGATAATGTGATTTCTGATTGTGGTTGCTGCATTTTTTGATATGATTTTTTTGATACAAATGATCTAACAAAACCATAGACATTTTTGAACAAGTGAACACTTGAATAGGAATATACTTATACACACATACATACATCAGACATGTTTTGTTGTTACTCTTAAATAGTTTAAATATTTGTTATAACAGATTACTGATACAGATTGCTCTGAGCAGTCCAACAATAAAAGAAGCCTTGTGCATCTTTCAAACAGAGATGGGAAACACAGTAGCGCACAGTAATCTCTGCTTCTATGCTCCGATATTTTTTTTCAAAAATGTATATTTTGAATCATTTGTGATTAATATTTCGGCCCTCAGGCATATTGACACAGCACAACGATCAGTCTAATAAAACCAAAAGTGAAAACAAAATTATTGTCCAGGGTTTATGGTGTATCTGCGTTAGACTAGATTTACCATATCAAAGTCTTATACAACTGTTTACCTCTAAAACTGCGACAACACTATATTTTACATGCATAAACAGTAGGCTATGCGTTAAAGTTAGCTATCTGACAGAAACTTTCTATAAAGCTTATGCAACACATTTTAAGTTCAATAAATAGCTGCCATTTTATTCTTTTGTTCATTTTATTTATTCATTTTTAGAAAGAAAGAAAGAAGCAAAGCTCATCTCACAGATCCACCCTTCTTCCTCAGAGCATGCTATGTCGTTCCAGTTCTTCTTGCCCGGGAAACCCTGAATGTCAGCACAGTCCTCATTATTCTGGTCATCATTTGGTTCACCTTGCTCCCAGAACCTGAAGGCCAGAGAATCAGAATCAGTCTCTGATCAGTGTTCATTAACCTTCACCTCAACTCTCTCAGCCTGTGTTCAGTCACATTCATGCAATTCACTACAATCTCAGTTACTTGAGAAGGTGAAAGAAATCCGAGTTCATCTGTTTCTTACTCAGTGGTCAGTGATGATCCGTCCACCCATTTCCAGACTCCCTCTGTTTCACGGTCAGTCAGGCCAATCCAAGCCTTATAGCTGCCCAGATTGTTAAGGATGAACTCCTGCCATTGAGATAGTATAATGTGAAGAGATTGAAGATCTTTCTCTCTCTCTCTCTCTCTCTCTCTCTCTCTCTCTCTCACCTGTTCTTCTCTATTCTTTATGATCACCAGGTCTGCTCCTCTCTCTCTGCAATCCTTTCTGCTCTCAGTCCAGTTCTTGTGTCCAACAGTGATATAGTAAAAAGTGCCATTGAAATACGTCCAACCCTGCTGCATCGCCTTCACTATGAATTAAACACAGAACACACACATATCTGCACACTCAGACACTCTACTACAGGTATGTTCATCTTTCAGACAGTCCTCACTGTGATCTTCTCATCATCTCCATATCAAGTTTTTGTTCTGTTTTCAATTTCATACAGGCTTTGCTGGAATTGAGGTTTGTAAATGAGCACTTCTGCTTAATTTGCTTAAATAAATGTATGTCTTTGTATATAGTAGCAGTCCTGATAACAGTTTCTGGCAGTGTCTTATTTTAAGGGTATCACTGGACTAGCTTAAGGATAAGTTGCTTATCACTACTGTCGCAACAAAATCCCCATTTATATATTATATTATTATACTGTAATATCCATTTTTATCGTTTTTCTGTTTTTGACATAATTTGAAAGTGCCTGTTGCCCTTTACATTGTCTGTAAATTTCATGATGAACAGACCAAAAGAAATGGCCCAAAATGGCATGGAAAAAAGTCTAGTTCCATTCACTTACATTAAAAGTGAAGTATGATTTTTCCTTCTCCTGTAAAGTTACTATTTTGGAGATCTGACGGCAGCAATATGCATTAGCAGCTTAAGGATAAGTAAACACTTTTGTAAATAGTTCTGTAAGAATGTTCTTTAAATAGTGCACAGTGCTATGGACCTTCAGTACTCTCCATGAAGAACTCTGGAATGAGAAAAGCTCCAAAAACACTTTCTCTGAAGCAGCTGCATCACAGTGTAAAACTGGGTTTTAACTGAATCCTTATAAATGTAAATGTGTCTGCTTACCTAGAGTAGAAAATATCATGGCGTAATGTGTGTCCATAGTCACATTGATGTAGGTTGTTTCCAAGGTGACTTTGTTGGCAGGCAGTTCTTTGTAACCAGTCTGTAACTGGTCTCTCTCGGCAGTGAAATTGATCCACAGCACTGTGATGGCAGCCAGCAAGAGAAAACATAGCAGCCCCAGACACACTGCAGCCAGTCTGTAGCCTCTGTTCCTTCCAGTATTCATTTCTGAAAATAGAAATTATTACATGGTACATACTTATGATGATACACACTTTATAATGACTCATAATGTTCACTTACATCCTTCATAGAAAACATACTGATCAGGGAAACCATGTCTACCATCATCATGTGTACCTGATGTTCCTGAATTTGCATATATATCCTCACTCATCTGTGGTTCAGTTCTCTTTTGTAATGATGCTGAAACAATCCCAGAAATGATATTATAACATTATATCTGTCTTTGTTTATAACTGCAGACTGCAGTCACCACAGTCTCCAGCTCTCACAGTGAGTCTGAGTATGTGGTATTGTGCAATATACACTATATGGACAAAAGCATTGTGACGCACTTCTTAATCATTGAATCCAGGTGTTTTATTCAGTCCCCATTGCCACAGGTGTATAAAATCAAGCACCCAGTCATGCAGTCTGCCTTTACAAACATTTGTGAAAGAATGGGTCGTTCTAAAAAGCTTACTGAATTTGAATGTGGTACTGTAATAGAATGCCATCATTTTAACAAGTCAGTTCATGTAGTTTCTTTCCTTCTAGATATTCCACGATCACTAAGTACAATACCAAGTGTTGGCTGGAGTGGTGTAAAGCACAATGCCACTGGACTCTGAAGCAATAGAAACTGACTGCACTGTGCCAACTGTAAAGTTTGGTGGAGGAGGGATAATGATATGGGGTTGTTTTTCAGGGCTTGGCCTAAGCCCTTTAGTTCCAGTGAAGGGAAATCTTAATGCTTCAGCAGACCAAGACTTTTTGGACAGTTGTATGCTTCCAACTTTGTGGGAACAGTTTGGGGAAGAACCTTTCCAGCATGCAAGCAAGCAAGCAAGGTCCATAAAGGCATGGCTGGGTGAGTTTGGTGTGGAAGAACTTGACTGGCCCAACACAGAGCCCTGACCTCAACCCGATAGAACACCTTTGGAATGAACTAGAACAGAGATTGCGAGCCAGGCCCTCTCGTCCAACATCAGTGTCTGACCTCACAAATGCTCTTTGGATGAATGGGCAAAAATTCCCACAGACACTCTCCAGAATCTTGTAGAAAGCTTCCCAGAAGTAGTGGAAGCTGTTATAGCTGCAAATGGGGGACCAACTCCATATTAATGCCTATGGATTTAGAACGGTATGTCATAAAAGCTGTTGTAGGTGTAATGTGTAGGTGTCCCAATACTTTTGTCCATATGGCATATGTGCTGTTCTCAGAAAAGGAAGGTGAGGTGAGACAGCTTACGCAAACCACCCTGTACTTTCAGAAGCCCATTTCAGGGTTTATATGTGGTGGGTTTTTCTTTGCGTTGGTGTCCTGCATCTCTGGGTCACAGCCTTTAACAGCATTTACAAACTCTCTGTATGGCGCTTATTATCATTCAATAATTCATGCTGAAGTTTACTCTTGAGCGTCCAGATTAAAAACCACACAGGAAACTGTAACTCATAGGAGGCATCTGAGCAGTGTGTGTATGTACCACCACGCCCTCTCCATCTCTTACACACACAAGTCAGTCTGTTTTCATTACAGCTGAGACCCAACACAAAGAATATGAGCATTACTAATGTAATGTATTACTATGACCGAATACAACAGAATTATTAGTTATAATAATAAAGCTAATAAGCAAGGCACCAGTCCAACAGGACAAAATAGAATGAGGTACACTTTGAATAACCCTAAAGAGGCAGTAAATAAGAGTAAACATAGTAATAATTTTCTCAATGTCTGAAGAAAACAATGATTCATGCTAATCTTTATAGGTCATTATAGTAACACTTCACAATACTGGTCCACAAATACTTAACTGATGCTTTCATCACAATGAATGAGTGCATAGACTAATACTTAACACATCAGGAAATAATGAGGCATATATGTTAATAAAGAACTGAGTCATATATGAATAGCCATTAACAATAGAAATCATTAAGCATTAAAATTTCCTAACTAGGATGCCTATTATAACACACACTGTCTGTTTGAGGAGGATTTAAGTTAACACAAATCATAGGCTAATAACCAAAACAGTCATCTGCAGGAAAATCAATGGCTGGTATGCAGCAATATAGTGTTTTTAATAAAAGTTTTAATTTTTAGTTTTATGTGATGCCCTTTACAGTGTCCTTTTGATTTCTTGATTTATTAAAAACGCCCACATCTCGTTATATGAACTTACATTGAAAGTAAAGATATTTTTTCAATAAGCTGTTAATAAAATGCAGTAATAAAATACTAACAAAATTACATGATATGATGCTGATTTGCTTAATCAGTAATGATGTGTCGGGAAAAAGTAATGACACTTTCAACAATCATACAAGTCATTGCTTAACAAATCTGCACATCATTAGTCATTATATTTGTCATTAATTTATTATGATGCCCCCCCCCAGTAAAGTCATGATGTAAATATACATTTACAAATCATCTATAAATACATTCATATATCATTAATTTACAGTGTAAAATAAGTAAATTATTTACCAATAAAATCACTGAAAAACATCACACAGCAATATCAATAAAGATCATTTGTTCAAACACAATTGTTAAATGTTTCTTGCAGCATAAAATATGAGGAGAAACAATGTAACATAATGTTGTGTTGATTTTGCATGGTGCTGAAACACCGTGAACAGAGAAGCTTTAATTTAAGCTGCCTTGTGAATCTGTTTTCAAATGACACCGGATGTTTTTCTCCTAACTTTACAGACACTTTTTTATTTGCTTCTTTTGTTTTTGTTTTTTCCCTCTTCCTTTTCCACATAGGGGTGCACGAGAGAGGAGGGTCCATAGTTTTTAGTAGTGCAACCACAAAGGTGAATAAAACAGCAGACAAAGGATAGAGTTAAGTGACTGTGCAGATTAATTGAGTGAGGTTAAAGTTTCACAGTAAAGTGAATCAGTTGATGATCAGTAGTCTTCTTCCAGATGGAGTGGTGTAAACAGTCTGATGCTGCATGCACACCAGTTAGTTTAGGTGTCCTTAATGGCAGGAAATCTTGACCGAGTGATAGACCGGGCGGTTTTCCCTTTCCTGTCCGAGTTTCCATACTGCTCCAGTTCCCAATGGGTGTGAGGCATCTGTGTCCTTCTGAAGTCAACAGTCATCTGTCTTGCCTTGATCACATTCAGAGAGAGATTGTTGTCTTTGCCCCAAAGCTCCAGCTGCCTCATTTCCTCTCTGTAGGCCGAGCCTCATGACTGTAACATCATCAGCAAACTTGATGATGTGATTGCTGTGATGTTTGTCGATGCAGTCGTGAGTAAGCAGGGTGTACAGCAGAGGACACAGCCCTGAGGGCCTCCATGTTCAAAGTGATGGAGTGAGATGATCTGTTCTGGATCCTGACTGTCTGAGGCAGGCCTAAAGCATCCAATGGATTTTATGGGTGCATACCCAGAGGCCCAAGACACTATGGGGCCCCATGAGCAATTACAAGGTCTTTCAAAGTCTGTGGAAGGGAGGAAAGAGGATAAAGAGATACCTCAACACAACGACAATGAACAATCAGAGAATCTTCCATTCAGGAGGAAAATGAAGAGAAAGAAGAGGAATCCAGCTCTGGAGAAAGCGCTGACAGTGACTAAGACAGCAGCTCATTGGACGACTGGGAATCAAGTGACATTGCGGCCGAGGAGGAGGACAAGAAAGATTCCCTGCAGGAGGAAAGAACTAACTGAACAAAAGCATAGAAGGACAAAACCAGGAGGACATACGTCCAGTTGCTGAAAGTAAAGCTGACGGGATAGAAATTCTACTTTATACTGAAAATGTTATTCAGTTAAGAGAAATAATTCCAGGAAGATGAATGTTTAGTGATTTATTGTTGATTGGAAAAAGTAGAGTAGTAAATTTATATACAGCTCAGGACAGAATTAAGGAAATCTTAAGAATGAAGAAAATGTTTGTGGCATGCGCCCGCCCCCCGGGCCCCGATGACGGCCACGAGAGCTGGCAGGAAGGCGGGGCCCGAACACCCAGCGGCGAGGACAGCAGGGAGAGAGCCGCAAGTGGGGAGGGGGCGGAGCGCAAAGCCCGAGCTCCGCCGATGGACGCGGGTCACGTGAGTGACGGCGTGAGGAGGAGGACGAGGACGATGGTGCCGCCACGAGAGGCACCAAGGCAAGGAGCGACTCCCGAGCCCCACCCCCTGTGCCGCAGCAAGGCCGCTTCAGGATACCTTACGTTGGACCCGGGCGGCCGAGCTGCAAGCTGGGGCCGGTAAAATAACTCATGGGACAAATCATGGAGGAATATACTATGTATGATACATATAGAATTATCTATCCAGATCGTATAATAAATATTGTAATAATACATTTGTTGTAAAATCTTCTAAGACAGTTATTACGGTATAAACTACTGAAACTACTTTAAAGTCTCTTAGATAAATTATATTTACAGATTAAAAGAATGCCACAAGTTATCAAGTTATCATACATTGAATCAACTATTAATATATTAACACTTTTATTAGAGTCATAAACCCGATCTATGTCTATATTTATGTATTTGTTGACAAAATCTCTATACAATGATTTATAATATGGTACTGATGTTCAGCCCCAAAATTCAAATATATTTTTCTCTCTCACTGCCTGTTTTAGTCCACTGCTGCTCCCACAATCCCTCAAGTAGTACAGTAGAACATAGATGCTAAATTTATCACAAACACATCCACTACAGAGGAAAATATTAGTGTGATCATTCCTTCAAAAGAGCTCAGTAACACTGAGATTTATAACTGGCTCATCACATTGATTTATCAGTCTCAGGCTTTAGCAGAGCTCAGTAATACTGATATTAATAACTGGTTATCACATTGATACATCAGTCTACTCAGGCTTTAGCAGAGCTCAGTAACACTGAGATTAATAACTGATCATAACATTGGTTTATCAGTCCACTCAGGCTTTAGCAGAGTTCAGTAATACTGAAATTAATAACTGATCATCACATTGGTTTATCAGTCCGCTCAGGCTTTAGCAGAGCTCAGTAACGCTGAGATTAATAACTGATCATAACATTGGTTTATCAGTCTACTCAGGCTTTAGCAGAGCTCAGTAACACAGCTAAATAACTGATCATCATATTGATTCATCAGTCTACTCAGGCTTTATCAGAGCTCAGTAACACTGAGATTATTAAATGATCATCACATTGATTTATCTGTCTACTCAGGCCTTTGCAGAGTGCATTGGTACTTTGAGTAAATTATTTGAGGTGTTTTTTGTAAAGTGGCTACAGAATCGATCCAACACTTATTTTTGTATTTTCCATTGTGTTTTTTTCTTACTATTTTTGGGTTGACCTCTGTCTACACTTGAGAAGAGATTAGTTTAAAAAAGTCCCCCTTAAAAGCCACTGTTTTATTACTACTTGATAACCCTTTATTTAATCCTGTTAAGTGCTTTAAAGTAAACTTGATCATAATAATAGCTACAACTAATATATGAGATGAAAGTTACCAGAAAAGTATATTTGCAAGTGACCTTATTCACAGATCTAAGTACATCCCTAAATTAGTGAATTTACACTTGCGTCAAAACAAGACATTTTGTAAATCCACTGTTGTGTTATTGTTTTAGTTTTATTTAAATCCCAAATGATGTTCTTTTTAGTTTGTGTTTTTTCTTTATTTTTCTTTTTTTTCTCTTTTTCCTCTGTTGGTATTTCACAAAGAAACCCAATTTGCTATGTAAATGTTGAGTTTTCTGTATCCTTCTGTTATTCTGTTATTGTATAGATAGTTATTCACATTACAAATAAAAAGATTTGTTCAAAAGCATCATTTGCCATAGCAGCTCATCAGGGTTTAATATTAAACAATATCACACACTGTTTAAACTGACTTCAAGTTTAACCTACCTGTGTGTTTGATGATTCCTGTAGATGTGAATTACGGATGCCTGTTATTCTCTAGTAGTACTTGGCTCTGAAAAGAAACAATTTAAGGTCTCATAACATAACAGTCAGACTAGGCTTCTGCGGAACAGCAGCAATGGATACCTCAAGATGTCTAAGTGGCTGTTAAAGCCCACCCGTTAAACCTCCAGACTCTTATGTGGATATCATGTGATTTCAGAGAATGAGGTAGTTTCTTCATTTTTGCGTTCGCATTTGAATCAGGCGAGTTCTGATAACGGGTGTGTTCTCTTCAGATAGCCAATGACTCTGGTGAGAAGTCATCATCGCTCGGCTCACAGTCGCAGTCAGAACACAGAACAGAACCTAAAGCCAAACACAGAGTCTCACAGTGACAGTTTAGTTTAATTTAAACACCAGAACAGCATCTAAACCAAACTCAGAGTCTCACAGTGAGAGTTTAGTTTAATATAAACACCAGAACAGCATCTAAACCAAACACAGAGTCTCACAGTGAAAGTTTAGTTTAATATAAACACCAGAACAGCATCTAAACCAAACAAAGTGATAATATTGTTTAATGTAATGGACTAAAGACATTGAAAAAAAAAAATCAGCACTCTATTTGAATAATTTTCTATGTAACAATCAAAAAGAAATATCAGATTTTCTAACCAACTTTAACATAAAATTGTATCAGTTTTCAAAGATCTGAATGTAAAGCTCATTTTCAGCATTTAAAAGAATTCATACCCCAAATCAATGAAGATGTTCAGGCTTGATGAATCAGATTAAACTAACAGGACATTAGAGATGTAATGAAATCAGTGAAAAATGAAAAGTCACCAGGTCCTGATGGACTCACTTTAGATTTTTTGCCTTTTTAGGAAATTTTAGATCAGCCTATATTCTTAATGCTACAGGAGTGTATAAACAATAGTGAAATGATATCCACAATAAAACAAGGCTTAGTTTCACTGACTGGACAGCTGGAGACCCATCACCTTACTAAATGCTGATTGTAAATTTATGACAGGTGTATGTACTAAAAGATTGAAATATGGCATAAGTGAAATATTGAAGAAAACACAGTGTTCATCAAAGGAAGACCCAGACGTTTTAGACCTCATAGATTATGTGGAAGAAATAATTTCAGATGCTGTAATTCAGTTTCTTGATTTCTGTGAAGTCTCTGACAGCCTTCCTTATTCATCTCTGAAGAGCTTTGGGTTTGGAGATTATTTTAATAAAGTAGTGAAAATGCTTTACTTCTTCATATCATCAATGCCTTATCTTAGGCTTCTGGCCTCAAACTCTAAATCTCTAAATGTGAAGTCTTATGCCTAAATGACACTACAAAAATAAACATCCATAATATCCCAGTTTAGCATTCTGTCAGATATTTATACACATATCAAAAGATATCGTTGTTAGGCAACATTTGAACTTCATTTTAACACCAACAACAGCATTTTAAATCAAACTAGTGGCCAGTATTTTGAGATGTAACTACTCACCTGAGAAACAGTTACTTGATCTAAGTTTCTTCAGCAAGTCTTCTTAGCTTGGAAATTAAGTTTCACTCATATTTTATTCTCTGCACAGAGAGCTCGTATGGAATGACAGTAATATTACTATTAAAAACAAATCATGTTTTCCAAACTGCTATAATAAAAATATCATTGTTGTTGCTGATTAATTTGCAAATGGTGGTGATGTCCTGTTTAATGAGGAATTTATGGAGGGGCACCAATTTCCTATTCCTTTTAAAGAATACAATATAATCATCAAAGCCATTCCCACTGGTTTATTTGACTTAATGTAATCTGAATTATAACCCCATTTCCAAAAACAGTTGGGATGCTGTGCAGAATGTAAATAAAAATAGAATGCAATGATATAAAAATCATGTGAACCATATTTTTAAAGGAAAATACTACAAAGACAACATATCAAATGTTGATACTGAGAAATGTTATGTTTTTTGAAAATATATATGCCCATTTTGAATTTGATGCCAACTTAACATTCAAAAAAAGTTGGGACGGGGGCATGTTTACCACTGTGTTTCATCACCTCTTCTTTTAACAACACTCTGTAAGCGTTTGGGAACTGAGGAGACACTGCTGTAGTTTTGAAAATAAAATGTTTTCTGATTCTTGATTAATATAGGATTTCAGCTGCTCAACAGTTCTGCGTCTCCTTTGTCGTATTTTTCATTTCATACTGTGCCAAATTTTTTTCAGTGGTGCCAGATCTGGACTGCAGGCAGGTCAGTTTAGTACCCAGACTCTTTTAATACGGAGCAAAGCTGTCGTAATACATGCAAAATGTGAAATCTGAAATAAGCAAGGCCTTCCCTGAAAAAGACATCATGTGGTTGGCAGCATATGTTGCCAAAACATGTATATATCGTTCAGCATTAATGGTGTCTTCACAGATGTCACCCATGCCATGTGCACTAATGCACATCATGAATACTGGCTTTTAAATTGTGCACTGATAACAAGCTGAGTGGTCTTTAGCCTGGAGGACACAGTGTCCATGATTTCCACAAAGAATTTAAAATGTTCATTTGTTGGCCTACAGGACACTTTTCCACCTCACCTCAGTCCATTTTAAATGAACTCAGGCCCAGAGAAGGTGGCAGCATTTCTGGATCCTGTTTATACATGATTTCCTCTTTGCATTTTAGAGTTTTAACTTACATTTGTGGATGCAGTGATGAACTGTGTTCACAGACAGTGGTTTCTGTCAAGTGTTTCTGAGCCCATGCAGTGATTTTCACTACAGAATCATGTCTGTTTTTAATGCAGTGCTGCCTGAGGGCCCAAAGATCACAGCCAGCAAATACTAGTTTTTGGCCTTGTCCCTTGCTTACAGAGATTTCTCCAGATTCTCTGAATCTTTTAATGTTATTATGTACTGTAGATGATGAAAAGCAAAAGTTTTTTGCTATTTTACATTGAGAAACGTTATTCTTGAATTTTTGTTTGTGAGTGGTGAGCCCCTCCCCATCTTTACTTCTGAAAGACTCAGCCTCTCTGGGATGCTTTTTATACCCAATCATGTCACTGACCTGTTGTCAATTAACCAACAGCATTACACAACTTTACCAGCCTTTTGTTGTCTCCATCCCAACTTTTTTTGGAATGTGTTGTTGGCATCAAATTCAAAATGGGTATTTTTTTTCCAAAAAACAATACAATTTCTCAGTTTCAACATTTGTAATGTTTTCTTTGTACTATTTTCAATTAAATATAGGGTTTAAATGATTTGCCCATCATAGCATTTTGTTTTTATTTACCTTTTGCACAACGTCCCAACTTTTTTGGAAATGAAGTTGTACATTAAAAGACTGTGTCTAAACAACTCCCTTAAGCTTGGAAAGAGTCTCCCTTTTAGAGAAGTTTTGTAGTAATAAATTTATTCACCAGATGTTCTATTCAAAATATATTGCAGAGAGGAAAAATCCATTGAAAATATACAGTGGGGGGAAAAATCATGACTATATCCTTTAAATACTGTATGTCATATATAGTGAAAAACGTATACTATAAGATTTGCTGTGTTTATCCTTGTAACTCTCTGCGATCTATGGAGCCCTGCTGGTGATATATTAATAAAATAATGCATTACCATGCCATGTAACATGTGAGAATGAGATTCTAATGCGTGGCTGCAACTTAGTACGGCATAGGAACAAGATAATCAAGTCATGGCCACATCTTAGTAAGGCGTAGGAACAAGATCACGCCTTATCAAGCTGTGCTCAAGTTTGTTGTAATGGTTTTTTTAGTTTAGTTTTTTAGTAATGGTTCACTGTTTTATATGTTGTGTTATATTTCAATTCTGAAATAAAGTGGAGAGAAAAAAGAGCTGCTAAATGCAAACAAAGTAGAACGCTGAATAAATCAGTTCTGGGTCAGCGCTGTTTTCTAATTGCAACTGTGAGTCAAGACAACTTAGAGCCAACTTGGTGCCAGAGTCACTGGTTATCTGAAGAAAACACAACCGTTTCACAGAAGCTGTGCGATTCTAATGTGAACACAAAGATGAGAGAAAGACCCCCATTATCTGAAATCACTTGGACTCTTCAATAAAAGGGTATAAAAGGGTAGCGCTTGACCTCAAATATCCTTAAATAGCAGTGCATTCCTGCGTGAGACATCTTGTAGTATCTACCACTGCTGTTCTGCAGAAGCCTCGTCTGATTGTTATGTTTGGTTTTATTTGCTTGAGACTTTAAATCATTTATTTTTGGAGCCAAATACTACTAAACAATAACGTGCATCCCACATTTGTGTAAACAGTGAAAACAGTGTCTGATGTTTAATCTTAAACCCCTGCTGGGTTGGCAAATGATGCTTTTGAACAATGCTGCTCTGTGCCGAGCCGTGCTTGATCTTAGGGGTTTCTCTACATCAAGGATGCAAAGAACAGACTTGTGTTCTTGGGTAGAACATTCTGAACAAGTGCCAGTGCAAGAACGAACTTGGAAGAACACAAGAACACTTGTGGGTCAGCCTGTGCAGCCGGCTGCCAGCAGAGGGCAACGGCAGTGAGGCACTGTTACTCCGGGAGACTCAAAATCCCAGAATACCAAGGGGTAATCATTGCCAACAAGGTGCAGCTGTTGGTACCGGTATTTAAGGCTGTGGCAGACAGCACATTCTTGTCACACCCTTGTAGAGGGGTGACCGGTACGGTACTTTAGCCCAGATGGGCATTTAGACTAAAAGGAAAAAGAAAAAGTGAAGAAAAGCATAAAAAGAGAAAACAAAGGGAGAAAACAGAGCACTGCTCTAGGTCAGTGGACTGTGAAGAAAAGAAAAAAAGGAAAGAAGGAAAACATTGTATTGATTTAAGACAAGGAGAAAAACATGAGAGGGAAAAGAAAAGGCTGAAATATAGCCAGCATCTCTCCTTTGAGAGGTGTTTTGGTATGATCATTTATTCGGTTTCTTGAATTTATCCCATGTTTGTGTTACACCATTTTGAGGGGTGTTATTCCACGTTTGTTTGCAAGGCCAGGGTCGCTGGTTTAAATCCAGCTGGAATACAAATCACACTCACTGTTCCCACGTCATTTTTTATTACACCACAGCACTAAACGTGAATAAATAAGTCTATTTCTTATGTTAG